CTCGGGGGGTGATTTCTCACTTTCCCTCTCACTACCTCTGTCTCTTGCCATCTCTGGTGAGAGCATGCACCCTATGGCAAAACAAAACAAAAACCAAAAAATAAACAAATAAAAGAACAAACCAGTGTCCCGAATCCTATGGACAAATGAGGCCATCAGCATACCCTATAGGGCAGGCTCTCACTGGCACTATTCTTACAAATTCCACAGCCAACGTGCTCAACCCTGATCGTGAGGCCTTTGTGCAACACCCAGGTGAAGTCAGTGTCAGGGATCACCTCATCAGGTAATTCAACACACAGGCCCAAGCTTGTTGTCTCCTCCAGGTTCACCTGCAGGGTCAACTCAGCTGAGAGTTCCTTTGCCACCAATTTCTACTTGGCCCTTGCTTTAACTAAGAGAAGCTTCTCCCTCCCTAGTCCCTCGGGGTTGAAGGGATTGGGCTCACAACATGATCTATTCATTTCAGTGTTTCGAACTAGGATATGTGAGTGGGTAGCAGGGAGGCGACCGACTGCCTGAGTTGAAATCCTGGTTGTGTCAACATGCAAGATGTTAGCTATAGGCAAGTTACTTCAATTTAACCCTCAGTTTCCTTTGTAAAATGGGATAATGGTATCTTCCTTTCAGAATTACAATGAAGTTTAAGTGAAATCATACATAAAAAGCATGTTATTAAGAATACAGCCAGTGGGGCAAGCAGGTGGCATGGTAGTTAAGGTGCTGGACTCCCACGTGGCCAACCATGGTTTGAGTCCCAGATCTGGTGGCTTGAAATCATGCCAGGTGTGTGTGTGCGTGCCCAAAATCCGAGGAGGAGAAAGAATGCAGCAAGGCCATCCCCCAAGGCCAGTCCCTCTCACTGTCTCCCTCTGGTGAGGACATGTGCCGTATGGCAAAAGCCTTAAGAAAAAAAGAATACAGCTGGTAGCTGATATGTCACTTCCATGGTGCATTTTGTCAATTGCTTTTCTCAAAAGACCAATACAATTCCAGCTGCTGTTCTATCTCTTTCCCACCAATTGGGCATTGGTTGAAAACAGGCAGCTGAAGAGGCGGGTAGGAGGGCAAACAGCTCGTGACAGAACAGGCGTGAGTGGTTACGAGTGGACTGATGCTCTAGTCTTCAGAAAGTATAAGCTAGAGATTGCTCTCAAATGATCCAGGAACACGTGTGGTGTCCTCATAGCCTTGACTAGTGCCAGGTGCCCTGGATGATTTAGGATATTAAAATGATGACAAAGACAATTTACTCAACAGGAAGGCGCTTATGCACTGGAACATTCATTCATGTTGACAAATATCTAAAGCGTGGTCTAACCCTGGGATTCAGAGGCCAGTAACTGGCTTCTCAGAGGAAAGAGGTTACTAGACATACCCGAGGGACTCCTCTTCCATGCAACAAACACGCCACAGTCTTGAGTCTTCTTACCAAAACTCAATGAAAATAACCACTTACTAAATGCTGGCTCCCAGCAAGTGTTGGCCCTGTGCCAAGTGTGCTTCCTCATTTGTCACACATCAATTCCTCAGGACAGGCGGCGGCCTCTGACATCAGCAGCGCCATTAAGACACATTTTGCAGATTTGAAAACTGAGGCTTAGACAGGTTAAATCATACTCAAGCTCCATGGTAAGCAAGTGGTAAAGTCAGGAATGGTTTAAAGCCGTTGCTCTCAATCCTTACTTAGGTTATGAGGAAAGATTTCTACATATTCTCCGTCCCCAACCGGCAGCAGAAAAAAGGTGAATTCAGCCCAGTGTAAGCTGCCAATCAAATCTTAATATTTGTATTTGGCAGACCCA